GACCCACCTCCTTGAGCCACGCTCCACCTGCCTAAAGTTATCACCCAATCCAGTTCATTCTATTTTGAATTATGAGGTTATGGCTGTTGTTATTCAATAATAGTAACTCTGAACATTCCTGCAGAAACAACACAGGTTTTTTTTTGGGAGGGGGCATTGCATATCAAAACCCCAACACTCACTCTAAACCAGAACTTTAGAAAAACACTACCTGCTCCTTAACCCCTTCACTGTGATTGAATTGTCTCCCACCCCCACCCCTGCCCCAAAGGTTAAAATGAAGTTCTCATGCCCTAATGAAAGAGAGATTTTAGAGACATAAAGACACACAAGGAAGAGACCTTATAATATGAAGAGGTTGGGATGATGGAACTGCAAGTCAAAGAATATCAAGGATTGCCAGCAACTGCCAGAAGCTAGGAAGAGTCAAAAGACTTTTCCCTGGAGACTTCAGAGGAAGTATAGGACTGTCAACACTTTGGTTTCAGACGTTTAGCTTCCAGAACTGTGAAAGAATGAATTTCTGTTGTTTCAAGTCATTCAGTTTGTGGTTGTGTGTTATGGAAGCCCTAGAAAACTAATATATCCCAGACTAGATCTAATCCTGTTATAAACCTCCATGAGATTTTATTCCTGTTTCTCAAAGCCCTTTCAAAATTAAAATGAATTCATGTGTAGTTTTAAATGTCTTTCTTGCTCATATGAACGTAATAAGGATATTCTGAAGAAAGGGGCCATGCATGTTCTGTTTATACCTGTTTCTTCAGCACCATATTACCTAGAATAAATGGATGCCCAATAAATATTTGTTAAATGCAGAAATGAATTTCTCTGCAGTGTTTCTTCTTAAATGCATGCACATAACAATGCCATATAATTCTGAAGCCGAGTTTGCCGGTTTCTATGTCAGTGAGAAGTCATTTGATTGCATTCAGTGAAAAAAAATCAAGCAATTAAAACCTCTAAATGAACAATAGTTATGTACATTGGCTTTATATTTTAGAAGCCCAGCAATACAGCTACTCCTGGCTGAGAACTGATTCTGCTACTTCAAAAATATCACCAAGATTGAGATTCTCTCTGCCTCTGGGTTTTGCCTCCAATCAGGTGAGCTCAATCCTCAGCTGTGTGTAGCACTTCTCTGCTGGCCACAAAATGCTTGAGGCATCTATAAACCATACATACTTAAATTGTTATCATCCAAAAGAAGAAATATCTATGCTCACAGCTTGTGCACATATCTTGAAGTTTCTTCTCTTTATTTGTCCAGATTTGGACAAATCTTCATCTTGGAACCAATAAGAGGGCTTCATTCAAAGGCTGAGAATCAATTCTACTCCAATTACTTACCCAAGAACTTGCGGGAAGTAAACTTAAGAAAACCAGAGTACTGTTGGCAGGAAGGAGGAGAAATTGGATGCCAGGTGGCAACCAGTGAATGTTCATTCACATCAGGTACAATAAAATCTTCCAGTTTGGTCAGGGGATCCAAGATGGCGAGCAAGAAGGAGACAACATTCTGTGTCATTCTGTGACCTGGGTCCCAACTAGTAAGAATACTGCTTTTTTAAGAGTGATAGAGGAACACTTCACAGCTGCTGTCATGCAAGAATTATGGCTGCCATGCTAGGCAGGGCCCCAGGCCTCAGCATTAGAACAGGATCCCTGACTCCTGACTACTCGCCCAGGCAGTTCTCGCAGGTGCCTTAGTGGGACCACCTGCATCAGCACCCACACAGAATTCCCAGATGCTGCTCCCATGCAGGACACTCAGTTGCTACTCACACACAGGAACTCTGGTGGCCACATTGGTGTGGATCCCCATCTACCAATATGGGGCTCCCTTCGGTCGCCTCCATCTTGGGACTTGGCAGCTAATGCCATAGTCCCCTACTCTTGGTAGGCTGCCTACACCTGGGGACATCACAGGCTCTGAAGAAAGCCAATAGCCACAACATTGCACACCACAGAGCTCACATCACACGACATCATCGCCCAATTCCCCCCACTCAACCCAACACCCCATCACTGAAAGCAGCCTACATCTTGGGTCACCTCCATCACCATTTTTAGTTGGGGCAGCTACTAAAAATGGAACACTGTTTGGAACACTGGATAGCCAGGTACATGGTTTTCTAATTGCCCCCAATCCCCAGCAACCTCTAACTCAGCAGAGTGACTGCCCAATACAAAATAGCCCTTTGTGACATGTACACAGCCACCAGAGGGCAACACACAAGGCCCCAGGAGAAAAGTTTCTGATTAGTAAGTAGAAAGGGAGAGGGTGAGGGAGATACACTTTAGAGACTAATTTAGAGGCCAGGAACTGTGAGGTCTACAGGTGAGATGAGGAGATAAGACCCAGGGCCCACATCACAGAAGCAGAACCCAAAGGAGATCCTTGAGGTGTAGTTTCCCAATGGGACCAGCGGGTGCCATACCCCACCTCCAGGTGTCCTGAACCCAAGACCAACCCTCACACCCTGGTAACCTCCACCATCTTGAGGGTGGAGATACCAACTAAGAACAGACAACCCCTCCTATTGGATGAGAAGAGAAGCAGGAAAGATACTGATCTCCAGCCAACACAATCCTTATTTCTTCCTTCGAGATTTTTTTTTTCTTTCTTCTCCCTCTTTATTCTCCTGTCCTCACACCCCCAACATACGTGAAACAAAGTACTTTGCCTGAATTAGGATACTGAGGACTGAGACGACTGAATAGGATATGACTGTTGTGTTGTGTATTCTTTTTTTCTCCTATTTTAACATTTTTAAATTTTTCTTAGTATATATGTGTGTCTCTTCTATGTACTTTACTGTCTTCCCTCTTAAATGTCTACCCCAAATTACTTCTTCTCTATTCTCTTGCTATTAACCTTCTTCTTTAGATTTCTCTTCACACTATCTAAGATATAATAATTCTATATCCTCATCTCACACCTCCTCAGCATATCTTCCTACACCTCACCCCTGTTTCTTTGTCCACCATCTGAAACTGTAAACTCTTTTACAAACCTACTGATTATATTGTAGATAATAATTGAATTCACCATTTCTGTACATTGTGGCCAAATGGTAAATGTCTTAATAACAACTATTTTTAGGTGGTGTTTTGTTTATATTGGGATCTGTTCACATTGTCCTTCCCCTCAAAGGGGAGGTATTGGAACCCTACAGGGGTGCTAAAAGCCTATAGGGTAAAAATGGTAACAACTCGGATCCACAGTGCTAGAAGGGAAGACACATGAGCAACATGAAAATACAAGGGAAGAAAGTGACCCAAACAAATCAAGATAGCACATTATTAGAACCCATGGCCAGACAGCAGATGAAATTACAGAGAAGGAGTTCAGAATGTAAATAATTAAAATGTTCTGTGAATTAAAGGATGATATAAGAGAGCAAATACAGGCAGCAAAAGATCATTTCAATAAAGAGCTACATAAGCAAATACAGGAAGCAAAAGATTACTTCAATAAGGATATAGAGTTTCTAAAGAAAACCCAAACAGAAATCCTTAAAATGAAAGAAATAATAAACCAAATTAAAAGTTCAATTGAAAGAATCAGCAACAGATTAGACCACTTGGAAGACAAAACCTCAGAGAATGAAGGCAAAATATATAATCTTGAAAAAAAATGTAGATCACACAGTGAAAATGGTAAGAAACCACAAGAAGAACATTCAAGAAATATGGGATAGCATAAAAAGACCAAATATAAGAGTTATTGGGATAGAGGAAGGCATAGAGTTCAAAAACAAAAGGAATGAACAATCTATTCATTGCAATAATATCAGAAAAAATTTCAAACATAATCAATGAATAGGAAAACCAAATTCAAGAGGCTTACAGGACACCAAATGTACAAAATCACAACAGATCTACACCAAGGCACATTATAATGAAAATGCCTAGCATACAGAATAATAAGAGTATATTAAAATCCATGAGAATCAAATTACATATAGGGGGAAACCAATCAGGTTATATGCAGATTTTTCAACCCAGACCCTGAAAGCTAGAAGATCCTGGAACAACATATACCAAGCTCTGAAAGAAAATGGATGCCAACCAATAAGTTTGCATCCAGCCAAATTAAGCATTATTAGATTTGATGATGAAATAAAAACATTTATGATAAAAAAAAGTTAAAAAAATTTACAGCTAGAAAACCTGCACTATAGAACATTCTTGGCAAATATTCTATGAAAAGGAAATAAAAAACAACAATAAAAATCAACAGAGGGAGGTATTACACTAAAGGAAAAACTAATCAAAGGAGAAACCAAGTCAAGTTAAATAACAAAAACAAAAATGGCTGGGAATGCAAATTATGTCTCAATAATAACCCCAAATGTTAATGACCTAAACTCACCAATCAAAAGGCATAGGCTAGATGACTGGATAAGATAAAATAAGGTTTAAAAAAAAACATACAATATCCTGCCTCCCAGAGACTCATCTCATAAGAAAACACATACACAGACTGAAGGTTGGGAAAAATCACACTACTCACATGAACTGAGGAAGCAAACAGGGGTTTCTATCCTCATATCAAATAAAGTAGACTTTAAGCTAAAGTTAATCAAAATGGGCTAAGAAGGATATTTTATGTTGCTCAAGGGAACCATATACCAATGTGACATAACAATTATAAATTTATATGCCTCAAACAATGGAGCATCTATGTTCATCAGAGAAACTCTTCTCAGATTCAAGAGTCAAATAGACCACAATCAATAATTATGTGTGACTTTAACACTCCTCTTTCACCACTGGATAGATCTTCCAAACAAAAGCTGAACAAATAAACTACAAAATTCAATGATACAATCAATAACTTAGACATAACTGACATATATTGAATATTTCATTGTTCAACAAGCAAATACACTTTCTTCTTCTAAAATAAACAATACATTATGCCACAAAGCAACTCTTAACAAATACAAAAAAGTAGAGGTACTACCCAGCCAAATTAAGCATTTTTTTTTAATTGTTCAAAATTTTAATGCACGCTATGAGAAATGAACTTTTAAATCAACTGAATTGTATGGAAATTAAACAGCAAATAAATTAGACCCACGTTAAAACAGAAGGTCAGCTAATGTCCAAACTTAAGGATATAATGGGCACAGCCAGCCATCGATTCCACAGGTTTCTTCTAAAGGTTGAAATCTTTCAAATAGAACTTTGTTATGAACTGGTCCAGAGATCAACAGCATTTGGGAATGCTTAACAGGGATGATGATCAGGGACACGTTTCCTTGGTGCTGCTTTGATGATGTTGTCCACACGTAGAATCACCTCTGCTGCTTCAGCTGCACTCAAAAGAACTTGCCGCTTCACTTGGAAACTTTCTGTGATGCCCAATATTGCCATATCTCCTATGGTACCTTCTTTCATATCCAGTCCAGCAGTTATATTGCCTTCACTGTGAGCAGCTCGGAGCTGTGCCACCAAATCTGCGCTGTCATAGCCTGCATTGTCAGCTATGATGGTTGGTAACATTCTCAGTGCTTTAGCATAAGACTCCATTGCAACAGCTTCTTTGCCTGGTGTTCTACTGGCAAGCTGTGTCACAGCATGCGCCATCAGCATCTCAGAACAGCCTCCTCCATATACTGTTCTAGAATCCTTCACAGTTTGGGCAAGAACACAAAGAGCATCATGCAAAGATCTTTCTGCTTCATCTAAAATTTGTTGAGTGGCACCACGCAAAACAATGGTACAAGCCTCACCAAGGGCAACCCCAGAAAAGTGAATGAGTTTATCTTCTCCAATCATGACTTCCTCAATAAGTTTGCAACTTCCAAGCTTCACCAGTTCTGGGTGATCAAAGGTAGAAGCAATTTCTCCACCTGTAACAAGGGCCAGGCGCTCTACACCTGCAAAATCTGCATGCTCAATAGCCATGACACCAGCAGCACCAAAAAGCTGTTCAGGATAATTATAAATTAATTGCCTGTTAATAAAGCAGTTTAAAGATCACAATAAAGATCACAATGGAATGAAAATAGTGTTAGAGTCTGTAAACAAGTCAGGATGGCGCCTGGCATTTTGCCAGAGGGAGTGGTTTGTGAAGTAACGCCAGTGAGCCATTAAGTGTGGAGATTCCTTATTGGTTGACTGCTGTATCTAGTTTATGTTAATTAAGATAAGCTGTGTGGAATGTATAAATACCTCTGTTGTCCTACAATAAACGGCTTCCTCTCCTGCTGTATCAATCTACACAAGTTGCTCATCATCTCCCCGGTTATTTTGCTGCAGCCGGACTGTGGCAAAATAGAACTCAATGATAAAATAAAAAATAAAAGCTACTCCAACACCTGGACACTAAATAATATGCTACTGAATGAATAATGGATTGAAAGAGACATCAAGGAGGATATGAAAAAATTCTTAGAGGTAAATGAGAACACTGATACAAAATATCAAAATCTCTGGGACACTGTGAAGGCAGTACTAAGACGAAAGTTCATTGAATGGAGTTTATTTCTTAAAAGAAGAAAAAGTCAATAAATGAATTACCTATCATTACATCTCAAAGCCCTAGAAAAAGAAGAACAAATCAACACCAAAAGCAGTAGAAGACAGGAAAAAATTAAATCCAGAGCTGAAACCAATAAAATAGAAACAATTGAAAAAATTGACAAAAAAATTTGGTTCTTCAAATAAATAAATAAAATTAACACAACCTTAGCCATGATAACAAAGAGAAGGAGAGAGAAGCTCAAATCACTAACATATTGATGAAAAAGGAAGATCACAACAGACACTTCAGAAATAGAGAAAATAGAAATTATTTTGAACAGTTGTACTCCAATAAAATAGCAAATATCAAGGGCATCTACAAATTGCTAGAGTCATGTGATTTGCACAAATTGAATCAGGATGACATACACAATTTAAACAGATCAATTTTAAGCAAGGAAGTAGAAGACACCATCAGAAGCCTACCAACCAAGAAAAGCCTGGGACTAGATGGATGCCCAGCTGAGTTCTACAAGACCTATAAAGAAGAACTAATATCTATACTCTACAAATTATTTCTTGAAAGAGAAAAAAAGGAGCATTTGCAAACTCATTCTATGAGGCCAATATCAACCTGATTCTAAAACCAGACAAAGTCACATCAAAGAAAGGAAAATTCAGATCAATACCTCTAATGAACATAAATGCAAAAATTCTGGCAAATCAAACACAAAAACATATCAAAAAAGATAGTGCTCCATGATCAAGTGGGGTTCATCCCAGTGATGCAAGGTTGGTTCAACATATGGAAATCAATAAATATAATTCATCATATCAATAGACTTAAAGATACGAATCATATGATCATCTCAATAGATGTAGAAAAGCATTTGACAAAATACAGTACCCACTGCACTCAGGGCTGAATTCTGGGTTTGAGACGGGGGAAGGAAGCGGTCCATCTCGGTTCTCCACACCGGTCAGACCACAGAGGAGGCCAGCAGCCACCATGTTGGTAAACTGACGTCACCATACCTGTTTTTGACTGACCGCAGCTCATTCAGCCATAGAACAGGTAATTTCAGGCTGAAATTCGCCTGCGGCTTGCAGACAGATTGCTAGGGTTCAGCGCCTGGGTGCTTCTTAAAATCTGATCTTATCGGAGTGAACACCGAGCGCGGGGCGGCCGAGTTCCGGCTCCTGGAACCGTCCCGGAACCGCCCGGGCTCAGGGCTGCGGAGCCTGCGGAGGCTGCTTCTTGGACCCTGCTACTATCAGAGCAAACACCAAGCACTAAGAAGCCGAATTCCGGCTCCCGGAACTGAGCCCGCGGGGACTGCTTCTTGGAGCTTACACTTATAGGAGCTTACACAGAGCACGGAGCGGCTGAGTTCCGGCTCCCGGAACTTCCCTGGACCGGGGCTAGGAGCCCGCGGAAACTGCGTCTCGGTCCGGGTCCTGCTGAGGGCCGGTCAGGACTCACCCGTTGCTTGGGTTGCCTGGCAAGGGGAACGAAATGCTGCCATTCGCATAGGATACCAACATGGCAGAGATCTGATGTCAGCAGAAAGCGGTGGAGGAGAGATCTTCATCAATACCAGCGGTGACATAAGCAGTTGGTCTCCTGGTAAGGGGGGTGAGGCTCAGTCACCCGAGTCTCCTCAATTTGTCCTCGAGCCAGAGGGAAGGAGCCGGGCCGCCGCCAGCCCCCGGAGCAGGCCCAGCGGCTCGCCAGCGTGGTGACCGCGTGACCCCAATTGGAGAGGGGGCAGAGCGGAGCCGCCACCCACACCCGCCAGGTGGGCAGACCCACGACCCAGTAGTACATGGGCGTGGTAGGAGGGGCAGGGCAGAGCCGCCCTTCGCACTTGCAAGGTAAACAGACCTGTGACAGCCTGGCAGGTCAGGCCCAGTGGCCTGCCAATGTGGTACACACGTCACCCCAACTCGAGTAGGGGCAGAGCAGATCCTTCTCCCACGCCCGGATCAGGCCCTGCCGGTGTGGTGGTCACGTGACCCCAATTGGAGTGGGGGCGGAGCGGAACCGCCACCCGTGCCCGCAGGGTGAGCAGACCAGTGATCAACCTGCAGATCAGGCCCAGGGGTCCGCAGGCGTGGTAGGAGGGGCAGGGCAGATCCGCCGCCCGCGCCTTCAAGGTAGGCAGACCTACAACAGACCGGCGGATCAGGCCCAGGAGCCTGCCGGCGTGGTACAAACACCACCCTAATTGGAGTAGTGACAGAGCAGAGTCGCCTCCCTTGCCAGGAACAGGCCCAGCGTCCTGCAGGCCGGGTAGTCACGACACCCCAATTGGAGTAGGGGCAGAGCAGAGCCTCCACCCGTGCCCGAAAGGTGGGCAGATCTGCGACCGACCAGCGGGACAGGCCCAGTGGCCTGCTGGTACGACAGACACATCACCCCATTTGGAGTAGGGGCAGAGTAGAGCTGCCGCCCGCGCCTACAGGGTAGGCAAACCTGCAACCGACCGGCGGATCAGGCCCGGTGGCCTGCCAGCGTGGTACACTCGTCACCCCAATTGGAGTAGGGGCAGAACAGAGCCACCACCAGCTCCCAGAACAGGCCCAGTGACCTGCTGGCATGGTAGCCACGACACCCCAATTGGAATAAGGAGAGAGCAGAGCCGCTGCCCGCACCTGCAGGAAAGATACGCAAGCAGTATGAAAAGACAAGGAAAGAAAGGACCACAAGCAATGCAGGTCAACACAACTTTAGAAGAGGTAACAGCTGCAGCAGATGGAATGTCAGATAAAGAATTCAGGATATACATGCTTCAGATGATCTGGAGTATCAAGGAAGACATTAAACAGCAAAATCAGACAATGAAAGATCACTTCGACAACGAATTACGCAAACAAATCCAGGAAGCAAAGGATCAACTATACAGGGAGATAGAGGTTATAAAAAACAAGCAATCAGAAATCCTAGAAATGCAGGAAGCAATAAACCAACTTAAAAACTCAATGGAGAATACTACCAGCAGAGTAGAACACTTAGAAGATAGAACATCAGACAATGAAGACAAAGTATTTCAACTGGAAAAGAACATAGACAGCTCAGCAAGACTGTTAAGAAACCATGAGCAGAACATCCAAGAAATATGGGATAACATTAAGAGACCAAACTTAAGAGTCATTGGGATACAGGAAGGTACAGAGCTCCAAACCAAAGGAATGAGCAGTCTATTCAATGAAATAATACAAGAAAACTTCCCAGACTTGAAGAATGAGACAGAATCCCAAATCCTAGAAGCCTACAGGACGCCGAATGTGCAAAATCATAAGAGATCCACACCTAGACACATTATAATGAAGATGCCCAACATACAGAATAAGGAGAGAATTTTAAAAGCTACAAGAGAAAGGAAGCAGATTACATTTAGGGGTAAGCCAATCAGGATAACAGCTGATCTTTCAACACAGACTCTGAAAGCTAGAAGATCCTGGAATCACATATTTCAAACACTGAAAGAAAATGGGTTCCAACCAAGAATTGTGTATCCAGCAAAATTAAGCTTCAGGATGGAGAATGAAATTAAAACCTTCCACGATAAACAAAAGTTTAAAGAATTCGCAGCTAGAAAACCATCTCTTCAAAACATCCTCGCCAAAGCATTACAGGAAGAGGAAATGGAAAATAACAATGAAAACCAACAGTGGGAGGTAGGACAGTAAAGTGGGGGGGGAATAATCAAAGAGGAAAACAAACAATGTTTAGTAACAGAAATAAACAAATATGGCTGGAAGAACAACCCATATCTCAATAATAACCCTAAATGTTAATGGCTTAAACTCACCAATTAAGAGACACAGGCTAGTAGAATGGATCACAAAACAAGACCCAACAATATGCTGCCTACAGGAGACGCATTTGATAGGAAAAGACATACATAGGCTGAAGGTGAAAGGTTGGGAAAAATCATATCACTCATATGGACTTTGGAAACAAGCAGGCGTGTCCATACTCATATCAAATAAAATAGATTTCAAGCCAAAGTTAATCAAAAGAGATAAAGAGGGACACTACATACTGCTTAAGGGAACCATACACCAACAAGACATAACAATCATAAATATTTATGCCCCAAACAATGGTGCAGCTATGTTCGTCAAACAAACTCTTCTCAAGTTCAAGAGTCTAATAGACCACAACACCATAATCATGGGAGAATTCAACACACCTCTCTCGCCACTGGACAGATCTTCCAAACAATAGTTGAATAAGGAAACTATAGAACTCAATAACACTATTAATAACCTAGACCTAATTGACATATATAGAGTATACCACCCAACATCAAGCAGTTACACTTTTTTCTCAGCAGCACATGGATCCTTCTCAAAAATAGATCATATATTATGTCACAGGGCAACTCTTAGACAATATAAAGGAGTAGAGATAATACCATGCATCTTATCTGATCATAATGGAATGAAACTGAAAATCAACGATAAAAGAAGGAAGGAAAAAGCATACATCAATTGGA